GGATGATTTCTCAACCGGGTTTCTAGTGGAGTTTGCTTCGACAATTGAGGTGCAACAGTGACGCGAAAGTTTCTGGGCCTCCGCCAGACTACTGAGACTGTGGCAGAGGTCACTACCAAGTCTCTGGAGAGGGCTTTGTTGGTATCACAGTATGCAGCAGATGAGGAGATGAAGAAAGTGAGGTAACACGATATGCTGCGGGATGATATCAGGAATTTCGTGAGTATTTCGGGGTGTGAGACCCTGAATGATATGATTGTTAGAGACCATGAGTGGGAGATTGATCTGGAGAACGTAGAGAAGAGAGGGTCAGATCAGTTAAATACCTTGGAGGGTTCCGGGAAGAGACCCAAGACTTCAGATCAGCTATTGATAGGCCAGCAGGGCCGAAGTCAGTACAGCACGTACGGGAAACTGAACCATGGAGTTTGTCGTTCCAGGGGTTCGGGTTGCTATAAGTGTGGTAGGGTTGGTCACGTCAGCAGGGATTTCACTCAAGGGGCAAGCCCATTATGTTTTTACTACTATCGGGTGTGCCACAAAGAGGGCCGACTGTCCGACGACGAGGAGAGGATCAGTGAGCGTGCCTGCCCCTGATACTTTGTGGATCACTGATGGATGAGAGGGTAGAGCAGGAGCCCCAGCAGAGAGGAGTCCAACTTTGTAGTGACATGCAGGAGAGATCATGATTACAGCAGGCGATGTTGCGGGTATGTATCTTTTGCTCTTTTCGGTTCTATCTGTATTTTGTGGTTGCTTTCTTGCATCGGTTTTAGGTAAGTGTACCTATGGGTTTATCTCTATGCTTGTGATTGGATTATTTTCAAGTAGTATCATATGCCAATTGCATACCGTGAATTACTGAGTGGTTAGTGAGAGGTCGTTTCCGTTTTAGCTGGTTTGGAGTGTTCAGTGTTATCTTGGGTTAGAGTTGAGATCAGTTCAAGGGCATTATGTGAAGGTCTGCGGTCAGGGTCTGCAGGATGGTTATGCGGCATCGTCATGATTCGGTGGTTTTAGTAATTGTGCTTGGGTTTGCTCTTGGAAGCGCCAAGAGAAGTGGTCTAATGTTGAAGTTTGCTTTGAGCAACGGTTAATTGGACTCTAAGGTTTGAGTGAGACATCAGGTTAAGCACATAGGGTAATCAGTATTGGGGATTCGGAAAACGTTCATCTAGTCTTCAGTAATTGTGCGGTCTTTGGGGTGGGCTAATAATGGATCAATAGCAAGGTTAAGCGTTGGTAGTCAGAATGTCAAACATGTAAGGAAAGAAGGAATGAGAATCCTTTAGTTCTCGTGTGCTTTGGGGATTTGGTCTAATCAAAGTGGGGGAGAATCATCTAGGGATTGGTTTTGAAGGTTGGGTAAGTTTCACATCCTGGTCAGGAAGAGAGATGACCCAAGTGCCCGTTAGGGTTGCGGTTGTTTAAGTGGGAAATCAGGAACTTCCAGCAGCTTCTCGATGCATTCTTGTTAGGCATAGCAGTTTTGTGGATGGATTTAAGTCGAGGGTTGTGTCAGAGCCTCGCTGCCTGTTCTTGTCTGATAAAGGCTTTGGGGTTCGAAACCTAACCCGAACACCTGATTGGGAGCATGGTCTGGTGCGTGTTCGACTCAGGATGGGTATAGTTGGATTGATGGTAGGACCAAGGTTGGAAGATAGTGTTAGAGTGTTGTAAGACTGCGGGTGTAGCCGTAACATTCACAAGATTGGCAGATAGTGCTAGAGTGTTGTAAGACTGCGGGTGTAACCTTAGCATTCACTAGGTTGGCAGATAGTGCTAGAGTGTTGTAAGACTGTGGGTGTAGCCGTAGCATTCACAAGATTGGAAGATAGTGCTAGAGTGTTGTAAGACTGCGAGTGTAGCCGTAGCATTCACTAGGTTGGCAGATAGTGCTAGGGTATCGTAAGACTGCGGGTGTAGCCGTAGCCTTCACAAGGTTGGCAGATAGTGCTAGATTGTTGTAAGACTGCGGGTGTAGTCGTAGCATTCACTAGGTTGGTAGATAGTGCTAGGGTGTTGCAAGACAACGGGGGCAGCCGTAGCATTCACTAGGTTGGTAGATAGCATAGAAGTGTTGTTAGATCGCGGAAAGAAAAGTAGCACCCACCAGTTCTGGTGCAGCAATGAGGGTGTGGCAAATCCACAAATTGGGTTACGGATTTACCCAGATGGATTAGACCTATTTGAGCCCATGTTAAGACAGTAGGAACACCACTGCAGTCATGGGATCGAGGAAGCAATGGACCGTATAAGTTCGTCTATGATATAATGCTACCTTTGGTCATGTAGAAATCACTTTTAGCCTTGGATTTGGTGACTTCAGGATTCGACGTATGGACCCGATCAGTTGGAACAGAAGTTTGTTAGAGTCATAGTGGCAAGATAACTAATGGAAACTATTGACAGATGAGGATTTCATTCAAAAGTCTTGTGGGGCGACTATGTGGGAGTCTTTTGGCTCAGCAACCGGGTTGGAACCTGGTATCTCAGATGTCTAGCAGACGAACTGAGACCAGGGAGGTCTTGGTGGATTTTAAAAAGCAGCCAGGAGGCAGCATGCTGTTTTGGGCAGTCCAGTGTTTTGAGCAGTTCAGTGTTTCGGGCAGTTTCAATTTCTCGGGCAGTATTAGTGTTTTAGGATTTCATGTATGGGTGGAGTAACTGATTGCTTGGGTAATGATAAATCACCCACAATGGGATTAAATAATCTTAGAGTAATTGATTTGACTCTGTTGCGTAGCTCTCGTATGAGTCTAACCGTTGCAGGGATGAATCTTCTACTCGAAGGATTATCTGAGCCTTCTGTCAAGTATAAGTGCTCTACAACAGTTTATGGTCAGTGATTTTGCTCCATTCAAAATAACAATGTGATCATGGATTAGAAGCAATTTGTGTGATGCGAGATTCTATGAGGTTAGTTTGGTGGCAGATCTGATAGGGAGTCATGCCATTGAGACTTAGGCTTCAAATTTCAGGTGAAGTAGGGTTGGGGGAGAACTCGACGTGTTGGAATGATTTGGCACGCGGGAATTTAAAAACCAACTCGATGAGTTGGGGAGTACCAACTCGACGAGTTAGACGGGGTTTCGGAAACCCTAAATCTAGGATTTTGCACCATATTTAAACAACTTAAGCCCTAGGGTTTAGCCTCATTTCCAGCCTCCAAGTCTCTAACCTTAAACCGCAAAACCCTAAAGCATATTTGAGTGATTGTGATCCATTTTGAGTGCTTTTGTGGGTTCTTGAAGCTCTTGGAAGGAAGGGAAGCTTGAAGGAACTAGGAGGAGTTTCTAGATCCGGAAACCTCACTCCATTATCGACACTTTCTGGTAATCAATTCTTAAACTTTCCAAGTAGTTGATTAGATCTCCATCTAGTGTCCTTTTTGTTTGTTTTGGTCCAAAGGAGATGATTAGTGAGGAGTTGGACGTCCCAAGTGGAGAACACTTCAGATCTAGGGTCTTGAGGGGATTTCATGGCATAAAGGTGCCAAATTTGTGGCCCTAGAAGCCCCATGTAACATCTAACCTTTTTTTTGACCTTTCAAGTGCCAAATGGTCATGCATGTGGGTAAAGTTTAAGACTTTACATGCCCTTCTAGTCCCTAGAGTCCATATGTATGTTCTTATGCCCTATCTTGAAGTTTTGAGGACTCTTGGATTTAGATTTAAGTTTTTTTGGAGTTAGGGTTTGAGCTTAATCTCTTTAGGAAGGATATTAATGGGTAAAGTTGGAAACTTTACCCTTCTAGAGGAATTTCCAGTCGAGATCTGAAGTATAGGGTTTAGATCTGAAGAGTAATGGCTTAATGAGTTAAGAAGGGGTTAACAGACTGAGGAACTCGACGAGTTCATGGAGGAACTCGACAATTTGATTTGAAATGTCCCGATTTTGTTGATAAGGAATAACTTGACGAGTTCATGGAAGAACTCGACGAGTTGGATCGCGATATCACGATTCTATGATTCATGGAAACTCAGTGAGTTGAAGGGTAACTCGACAGACTTTGACCAAATTTGACCCTTAAGGGGTTATGAGTATGAAAGAGTACTTAAGGAAATCTTTTATTTTTAGGGGATTGAGTTGGATTAATATTCGGAGATGGGGACTATTCAGCTGCTTTCCAGTATTCGAGGTGAGTTACCTTCCCGATATGAGTGGGTCGAAGGCACCAATGTCGGCCCACTAGTAGTTGTTTATAGTAGAGATGATTGTCTTTGTAATAATTGTCTGGTATGAAACTATCTGTAGAGATTTATGTGCTTGGATGCTATGTATTATGTGGTAGTGGTAGGAGGGGTGAAATACACCCCATAGCCGGTTGAGAAAAACCGAGGGTAGATCGGGCACCCAGATATGCCTGACAGTATGCTTATGATATGTTATGATGTGGTAGTGGTAAGGGGGTGGAATAGACCCCATAATCGGTTGAAATAAACCGAAGGGTAGGTCGAGCACCCATATATGCCTGACAGTGTAGGTCGAGCACCCATATATGCTTTGCATGGGTAGGTCGGGCACCCAGGTATGCCTGACATGGGTAGGTTTAGCACCCAGGTATGCTCAGTAGGGTAGGTCGGGCACCTAGATATGCCTGACAGGGTAGACGAGGCACTAAGATATGCCTGGCAGTATATGATTATGTGGTATGATGGGGGAACTCACTAAGCTTCATGCTTATGGTTTTCAGTTTTGGTTTCAAGTACTTCTTCTTCGAAAGGAAAGAAGCCAGCATGATCACACTATGATTTTCCTTACTATGAGATCTTTGGGAGTTGTACTCTGATGTTGCTTTCTTATGACATGTTTTCGTTGTTGACGTATTGGTTTTGATTATGATATAGGATGCACTTCCGATGTTTTTAGACTAATGGTTATTATGATTACATAATTAAAAATAAAATTTTTGGTTATAAATTTTGGGATGTTACAAATGACCTTTTAGTACTCATCCGAGAACCCCTAACCAAGAATGGACACTTCTCTGGAGCACTTCAACATATTGCTACTAGTCTAACACTATCACAATTTTTGAAACGAATTTGATAACCCTTACTAATAGCATAGTTAGTTAAACACAATTTCAGCTGATGTGGGGATTCATACCTTTCACCAAACACTGGTTTCATTAAGTTCCATTTCACCTTTGGGGTGCCGGTGGAATACTCGAAATCATCATCAATCTCTTCTTCATCACTACTTTGCACATATTCCGAGTCCGATTGTTGGTTATGGATTTGAGTTTGAGCATTATTTTGACATTGACCTTGCGGATCATCAGCTATCATCGACATCGTCTTCTTCACAAAGAATGTTCAGAAATTCATCTCTGTATCATGAAATTGGTTTCCTCTTAAAATAATCATCGAGCTCCACATTTATGTTATCCAAATCATACATGTCGTCCATTTTCATCCTTTAAGACGGGGTAAAAACCCTAATTTACTGAGGTGGGTGAAAGCGAGAGAATGAAGATGGAAGAGAGGATGAAATGTCAGGGTTTTTTTAGTAAATAAGGGTATTTGTTTTACCGAGTCCACATAAGCCATTTAACACCAAATTAGCATATGCAACCGGCTAAATGTGGGTGACCGGATGAGAAGGAACAATTTGTTTATTTTACCCGGTTTCCTGGGTTATTTTGTTTAAAAATAAAATTTAGGTAATAAATTGAAACTTTTTCCAAAAGTTTAGGACTTTTATGATAAAACCCTTTAGAGTTTTATATCAAGATTCTCCTAACTTACTCTTGTATTTACGTCCTTTCCATATATAAAATTATGTTTTTATTACAATTACCTTAAACCATAAGAGATGGGGCATTTTTCATCCATATTTCTATTATTTTTAAATAATAAAAAATATAATAAAACTTATTAAGTTTATAAAATATGATAAATGTCATAATCTTAAATATATGGAAAGATAGTAAGAAGAAAAAAAATAAAAATATATTTGATTTCTCATAATATGATCATACAGTTTTAGCCTTTTTGTATCGAATAGTTTTAATGTTGTTTTAAGCTACTTAATTGGTTAAAGAGTAATTTGGATATATGGTATCCAATATTTATAACATTTAGGTTTCGTAATATTTTTGGTTCAACTATATGTATTGTTGCAAAATTTATCCATATTTAAAATCTAATTTATCAAGATCAACCCTTTAGATTAACCCCCTTTAGTTTGCTCCCGATAGGAACTCTCATATGTCATGCATATGAAGGAATTATGGTCCTTTTACCTTTGTCTCTCTCTTCTTAAGTGATTTATTTTCTTTAAACTTCATTCTTCTATCTTGTTTAAGAAAACACATCAACAAATAGTTACATAATTAGATTAATATCATCTAAATGCTAAATGTAATCCATATGGTAACATTAACATAGTGAGCACAATTTCAATTACAAATTTATTGTAACGTCCCAAATTCAAGAATAAATTGTTCATCTTTAAAATAGAATAAACACCTATTTTTATAAAATTACATTCAAGTCAAACCATTTGTTCATAAACCATGATTCAAAATCAAAGTGAAAAGGAAGACAATGCGGAATTTCAAATCATAAAATTGTTGACGTGTGTGTACGGTCCTGCCTTTGCAATCTGATAAGTACCAGAAAAAAAAATTAATCCACAACTGTAAGCACAAAGCTTAGTAAGTTCCCCAAAATATCACATGCAACACAACATAATAATCAGTTATGGGTTATCAGCAACCATGGGACTATCGGCAGTCCTGAGGACTATCAACAATCCTAAATATCACATACAACACAACAATATAAACAACTATGGGTTATCAGTAACTCTAGGACTATCAGCGGTCTTGTAGGCTCACAACAGCCCTATGGGTTATCGGCAAACTATCAGACTATTAGCAGTCTTGGAGTTATCAGCAACTCAGATACACATATAACAGCAATCAACAAATAAGACTTAGCTAGTCTAGCATGCACACCACTATGAAATAGGTAATACAATGAGAATACTCACCTGAAAGAAGAGTTGAAATCACTACTAAAAGTCCCACAAAATCAACTACACAAACCTCCTAAACCAATCACAAGCTAAACTTCATACTATAGCTCAACACCTCTCAAAGTTTGACCAAAAGTCAAACTAGTCAAAAAGTCATGGCCATGCACATGCCATGACGTTGCAATCCCTCGACAAAACAGTCGTGAGGAATCCACTCTTGCCACAAAGTGGTAATCAAGTTGCCACGTCGTGGGAACTATCCAAAAACCACTTAATGGATTATGCCCTTAATCCATTAAGCCACACACTCATCTCTTCTAGAATACATCCAAATGTCCGTAAGCTTCATAAAAACCCTTGCTTTACGGACATGCATGTCTTGAACTTGTTTAGGTCAAAAATATGAAAATGAGATCAAAATCTCATGCATGGAACCAACACTCAACCAAACTTCAGATCTAGCACACCAAACCTCAAAGGGGTCGCAAGGATCCATAAAATTGCCAACTTTATGGAAATCCAATCACTCAAACTACCCTAAACATGAAGAACAGTGCATAAGATCTAGAAGTATACACATAAAGGCTGGAACTTGAGGACTTACAATGGTCCAAAATATGTGCTCTAAGGTGGTGAGGGAACTTGTTTGTTGGATCTATGCACCAAGAACACCTTCTTCTTATCCAAGGCATCAAAGACAACACCAAAAGCTCACAAATGGATGAAAGATTAGAGGGGGATCAAAATGGTGAATAGGAGGCTAGGGTTTCATTTAGGAAGGTTGGAGGTTGAAGAGGATACCCTAACCTTGAAGTTAGAGGCTTTAAATACTGATGAAACCCTAAAATTTCATGGGGTTGGGCTACCACAGCCACCACATTGTGGCACACTAATTTCCACGTCGTGGTGCTCACTAGAAAAGCACGATCATAAAAAGCCATGTCACATCGTGGATATCCATACACCACATCATGGAAAATATCCTTCCTCAAATACGAAAACATGTGTTACAACTCTCCCTTACTTAAATTAGATTTAGTCCTCGAAACATGTCCTTCAACTTACTCTTAAAACACCCTCCAAACCCCTTGTGGGTTTTTCCTAGTCAACTCTCTGCTTACACAAGCATATGCCATTCTAAATGCCAGAATCTATAGCTACAAACTCAAGGATTTCCAAAACCTAACGCATATGCCAAGCCCGAGCGGACTCACAAAAGTCAAAATCACGTCCACTACCAACTGTAGAAGCTGACAACCTCGCATACAGACGTAAGGATGAAATATAAACAAGCAAATGCTAAACTATCCAACACATCCACTCGACTCTAAAAGTCCCTCGTCTAAACATGGAAATAACTACACAAAATAGCAACAGTCTAATCAAACCATCCCAAATTCAGAAATCATGACCAAAAGAACTTAATTACACATCTGACTTCCTGATATGTTGTGACTAACCAACTGATCCCACGAGTGCAACCATGGTCAATATAAAATATCTCATGGAATTCAAGCTCCCAAAAACAGCTCAGGTGCACAACCATCTACTAAAACATCCAAGAGACTTACAAGCAACCGCATCACTGGTAACTTAACTCACACGAAAACTTATCATAAAACGAACACATATCAATAAGGAAGAAACCTAATAATGAACCACTAATATAAAACCATGACTTTTCTAACAAGTCAACATCCTACAACTGCCCGATCCCAACCTGGCGGTCACAGACCCACCAATGAAAACACTATACTGCTCAAACACCCATCTATGACATCCCCTATTTTACGACCAATTAAAATCTTTTTTCTTTATGCTTTCTTAAAATAGAGTATTCTTTTATTAGTGAGAAATTTGTCCCAAAACATTATTAATGTGAGATAATATCAATATCCAAGCATATATAAAAAAACATTTTTCATTAATATTAAAAATCTTGGGATGTCATAACTGATACAGAAACATAAGCACAATCTAGTCTTTATAGACTTTACATCAATTCATTTAAAAGCCTAAAACTCTTTATATATCTCGACAGATTCAAACACCACTATTATTGTACCTTCGTACCGCTACATGTGATACAAAGAAACTGTGTTGGTCAGAATTGGGAGCCTGGTGAGCACATAGGTTTTTCAACCCATAATAGTTAAATCCTTTATTTATATTTTTCACATCAAACAATTAAATTGGTTACCCATTCCCGTTATTCTCACTTTCTGATCGTAAGATATTGATCTCAAGGGACCTATCCTAAGGAACATTGTAAGCAATGAGTAGACAATACCACATTGGGGATTACTTAACAATATATGTTAATAAGGCAACCATGAGGAGGATAGAATACATCGTATGAATACGTAATTCATTAATACCTGTAAGATCCCATGGAAATGACAATTGCAAAATTAAGAAATACATAATCGAAAAGACATGAATTAACGTTTAAGCACAAGTGCATAGATAATGGAGTAGTACAAAATTATTATAAGCATGTGTTGAGAGAAGAACTTAATAAAAGTTAGTAACTAGATAATATATTGCAGAATAATAAGTTAATCTCAGTGGATCGTTGTTAGCTCAACAATAATAGTTAGATTGCGGAAATATAAGGAATGTAAATAGCAGCAAGTGTATATCAATAAGCATTAAACAAGTAGACACTTAGTTGAATCGTAACATGGTTTGCATTCAAACACAAGTTAGCACATGATGAACAACATAAGTGAAGAGGGACTTGGTTAAAGTATCAATCATATAACTTTAGATGGAATAGAGATGAAAGATATTATATTGATAAGTTCAGAATTGGTAAGTAAACATGAAGTGGTACACAATATTTTTAGAGGCCCAAAAGTTACACAAAAATAATAAAAAATTACAAAGTAGTTAACTTCGGTGACCTTGAAGAGTACACAGGATAATACTAAGATTACAAGCAAAGTCAGTAAAAGGTAACTTGTTGCAGTCTTCATGTTACAGGCGTCTGCGGTCTTTTACTCGTCTTCGGGTGATACAAAATGACAAACAGTCTTCGTCAGGCTCTTCTTCGATTTATGAAGGCATTGGGTCTTCGGGTCCATCATTAGCTGTAGAGGGTCACTTTATTGTTTCAACATTTCCCCCCAAAGTGACCTCGCAACTAAGTTCTTCATTGATTCAGCTTGAGAAACCTTATGATGATCCACTAGAATTTCCTAACTTCAAAAAGCCATTTGATCCTCCTGGTAATTTCAAACTTCACCTCTTTAGTGGTGGGTTTGGATATTTGCACCGAAGTCAAGGTGATCTCCGGTTGCTTCTTAGATAA